AGAAAGAAAGAAAGAAAGAAAGAAAGAAAGAAAGAAAGAAAGAAAGAATTAACTTAGGGGCTGAGAATTTGGCTTAGTTGAAGCATTTGCCTTGCAAGCATGAGGGTAAAAGTTCAGATGCCTGGAACCCACATGGGAGCTGTGACAGGCATGGGAGCTGCCTGAGAGGCAGAGACAGGAGCATCTCAGAGCAAACTGGTTAGCTAGACTAGCCAGAACTAGAGCACTCTGGACCAGCGAGAGACCCTGTCTTAAAATAAAATGGAGAGCAACTGAGAAAAATGCCTGATATCAACTTCAACTTCATTCCTCTTGCATACGCATATACACACACACTGGTACCAGCACACACACCTGTGTCCACACAAATATATATGCACACAGCACACACATACACATCTAAATAAAAGTATAAGTTTATACAACAGCCTCTAGTCAGCTGTTCTTTCAGTTTGTTACACCTTTCATTCCTCTTAAAGATCTAGTACTGGAGATAGGGCTCAGCAGTGAAGGACACTGGCTGCTCTTGCAGAGGAGCCGGGTTCAGTTCTCGGCACCCTCATGGTGGCTCACAACCACCTGTAACCCCAGTTCCAGAAAATCCAATGAACTCTTCTGACCTCCATGGATACTGCATGTATGTGGTACATACACAGACATACATGCTGACAAAAAAATCCATACATGTAATATTAAAAACAAAAACCCTGCACCAATATAGAAGCTGATGAAAGAGTAGGTAGGTTGCTGAGGAGATAAGGAAGTAATTTTGTAACGTAGGTAAACCTTCCTAAGGTATAAATGTAAGAGTTCATCATATTAGCTTGAATATCTGGGCTCTGGCTCAGCAGGAGTGATTGACAGAGGGAAGCTCTCTCCTGTAGACTTCCTGCATCTCCGGCAGGTTGTCTGGGAGAGACAGTGCACAGTCTGGTCTTGATTCTTCAAGGTGCACTGAGAGGAGCAGACAGAGGTTTTCTGTTCTTTCTTTCCTTAATTTTTCTCAGATAGGGCCCCACATATTCCAGGCTGGTCTTCAATTTGCTGTGCAGTCAAGCATGAACTTGAATTCAAATCTTCTTGCCTTCACCTCCCAAGCTGAGATTGCAGGTGTGTGCCATCAGGCCTGGTTTATGAGGGGCTGGTGATTGAACCCTGGGCCCTATTTGTGCCAATCACCGAGTCTCGGTCCTAGTCCCAGGACGGGTTTCTTGAGGTTCGGTTTCTCGTGGCAAACACTCACACACAGCTCGGTTTCTCGTTGTAAACACTCACACACAGAATCCCAACCATCCAAGGAAACAAAACTAATAAACTCAGACATCAGTCTCAAGCTACAGCAGTAACCAAAATGACATCTCAGCGGCACAGAAAATCCTAGAGAAAAGTGACCTGTGAAAAAGCAAGTTCTAGATAGGTGTATCTGATGACAACATTATTCAGTGTGTAAATAAATGTGACGTTTAGAAGAACACAGACACACAAAAGGTGTTTGTAGTGATTGTCTTTGAAGGGGCCAGGTTCTTGTTTTTTGTTTTGTCTGTTTATTTGAGACAAGGTCTCTTTACCTAGCCCTGGCTGTCCTGTGACTCACTCTGTAGACCAGGCTGGCCGTGAGCTAATAGAGATCCGCCTGCCTCTGCCCCCCCCACACACACAAGTGCTGGGATTACAGGTGTGTGCACTACACCCAGCTGATTTTCACTGTCATCTGGCTTACTTTCATATTGCTGTAGTTGCTAGAATAAGTATGTATTACTCTTGTTAAAAGAGAAAACATTTACGTATGTTAGGTGATACTTCTGTGATGTTGGTATAAATGGGAACGGGAGAGCAAAAGTGGATTTTTACATTTTTTTTCACTTTTTACCACATTTTCTCATTTTTAACAGGTGGTACTCATGCCGTGGAACATGTCTTGGGGTCATATGTAGCAGTCTCTTCTCTCCTTTCACCATGCGGATTCTAGGGTCAAACTCAAGTCGTCATGTTTGGCGGCAAGTTGCTCAACCCACTGGGTTCTCTCTCTGGCCTGAGAGATGCTTTTTATCTGGAATTGCAGGTGAGTCACTTTGTCTGTGTGTGTGTGTGTGTGTGTGTCTATGTATGTGTATATCTGTGTCTGTGTATATGTCTGTGTATATCTGTGTGTCTGCGTGTATCTGTGTGTATGCTTATATGTGCCTGTGTATATGTGTCTGTGTGTGTATGCATGTGTGTGTCTGTATGTGTATTTGTATCTGTGTGTTTACATCAGTTTGTGTGTGTCTGTGTATTTGTATGTATGTGTGTATGTCTCTGTGTGTATATCTGTGTCTGTGTGTATATCTGTATGTCTGTGTATGTGTGTGTATCTGTGTCTCTGTGTTTATGTATGTATGTGTATCTATGTGTGTATTCATGTGTGTGTATCTGTGTCTCTGTGTTTATGTATGTGTGTATCTATGTGTGTATGCATGTGTGTATCTGTGTATGTATACACATGTGTGTCTGTCTGTTTATACATGTATGTGTGTCTGTGTGTGTATCTGTGTCTATGTCTGTGTATCTGTGTATGTGTGATGCATGTGTATCTGTGTATGTATACACGTGTGTGTCTGTGTATATACATGTATGTGTGTCAGTGTGTATACATGTATCTGTGTATGTGTGTGTATCTCTCTCTGTCTCTGTGTCTATGTCTGAGTGTGTCTCTGTGTGTTTGTCTGTATATGTGTGTATGTGTATCTGTGTCTATGCCTGTGTACCTGTGTATGTGTGTGTCTCTATGTGTGTACAGTTACATATTGGACCTAGCTCGCTCACACATGTCTCACAGAAGTTCTCCTACTGAGCTACTTCAACTTGGAATCCCAGGGCTTTTCTTCTGAAAACGAGCATGTGGCACGGCCCGAGGACCCTTCCTTTGCAGTTTAAATTCTATGCTTTCAAGGGTATTTTTCCTCCTCATTTATAAAGACATCTCATTACCTGGGCCAGTTTGATGTTCACTTCTTTTAACTGCTTTCTAATTTCTATGATCTTCTCCTGTAACACAAGGTAGATAGCACGCGTTAGAAGGAAGGACATATGGAATTGGAGTAAGACAATTAATTCTTAGGAGAAACACACGCACGGTCAACAGCTTCCGATTTCATAGCTGTTTTATAAATCGTAATATGCTGACTTATAAAAGCCAGCATCGAGCCATGTCAGTAAGGTACAATTGGTGACTCTGGAGAGAGGACCCAGTGGTTAAAACCCAGCTGCTCTTTATTCCCGGCACCTGCACGGTGGCTCACACCTGCATGGTGGCTCACACCTGCCTGTAACTGCGGCTCCAGGGGATCTGATGCCCTCTTTAGGCCTCTGTGAGCGCCTAGGACACACATGCAGACAAGCAGACACACACATATAAAACTTATTTAAAAGTTATGATTGACCACACCCTCTGCAAGTGACCCCTCACCAGGCATTGGGCTGATCCAATACAAGTAGCAGGAGCACTGGTCATCCTGAGCCGCAGCAACTTCAGCAGTGCGTGGTCACATTTGGGGGTGTATGTTCACCCTCCTTTGGTATCACATTTGCTCATCACCAGCCCCTGAATCACACGGTCTATTAAGGAGTTGCACTATCAAGTAGGTGAGGTTGGACTCCCCATCCTCTGTCAGGGCCATTTCTTTACTGCCCCTTCCCTTCCCCTTCAACTCCAACAACTGCCTGCCTATCTTCCGTCCCCATGGCTTTGCCTTTTTGTTAATAAATGGATTGTGAAGTCTGTGCGCCTCTCTGAGCTGGCATCTTTCAAACAGCTCACTGTGTCTGAAGCCACTCATGCTGTTAAGAGAATCAGGAATCTGTTCCTTTTTTATTTCAGGATGGTGTTCCCTTGTGCACACAAGATAATGGTTTATCTGTCAACTGGTGGGCATCTGACCTGCTTCTGGGTCTTACGCTCTTATGTGGCATGTGGTGTGCCTTGCTTTTAGCATACACACAAAAATGCGTAGCTCTGGCAGAGTTTTATATAAACGTGTAACACCTTATCCTTTCCTGTTATCTCAAGTGCCCCCTTAAAATACAAATCTCCCTGAATGTGGGGGCTCACGGCTGTAAACACAGCCCTGGGGAAACTGAAGCGGCTGGCTTGCTGAGAGTTCAAGGTCAGCACAAAAGGTCAAGGTGAGTGTGGAATATTCTTTTACACTGTGTGAGTATATGTCGCTGTGATTGGCTTAGTAAAGAAGCTGACTGGCCGATAGCTGGACAGGGTCAGGTTAGGCGGGAGAACCAGACTGAGGACACCAGGAAGAAGGGTGGAGTCAGTGGAGTCGGCAGCCAGACACTTTGAGGATACAGGAGGTGCAAGATGAAAGAGAGATAACGCCATGTGGCAGAATGTAGATTAATAGAAATGGGTTAATTTAAAATGTAAGAGTTAGCTAGTAACAAGCCTGAGCTACTGGTCAAGCATTTATAATTATTATTAAGTCTCTGTGCATTTATTTTGGAGCCAGTGGTCAGGACAGGTAGACTCTGCCTACAGGTTAGTCTACATAATGAGTCCCAGACGAATCCATGTTTAAGAGTCTTGTCTCAAAATGTGGCTCAGCAGGTGAAAGTATTTGCCATCAATCTGACTTAAATCCCTGGGCCCCACAAGGTAGAAAAAGAAAATGCGACAGGTTGTCTCTGACCTCCATGTATGTGCACACACATGCACACACCCACACATGCACAAACATACAATAAATACATAAATACAATAAAAAATTTAAAAAATAGCCATCAAAAATTTTTTTTTAAAAAAGCCTTTCTCTGAAAAGAATCCCTGAGAACACAGAGATAAGGAAATAGGATGCTTTGGAGGTTTGGAAATAACACAAGAACATGTCAGGAAGTTAACAAAGGCCACACAGTTCACTCTTGACTTCTAAGAACACAGTTAGCAAATTCCCATTTCCTAGATGTTTTCTCAGAATTAGCAGAGCCGGGATTCTGAGATTCCAACACGCAGGTCTCCTTAAGACCTGTGTTCTCATGAGGGCATCAAGACAGAAGCCTAGGTAGAGGAAAACCGGGCAGAGTCCAGGATTCTGGGCATCCAACAAGGGAAGCTGTGTCCTGAGGGAGAGGCTTGGCAGCCTGGCGAGGCTCCTCTTGCCACAGAACCTTTTCCCTCTGGCTATGATCTGTTTGGTGCCCAAGGAGGGAGGTGGAGGCAGAAGTCCGAACCCAGCTTACCTCAATGTTTGCTTCCTGATCAGGGTCCTCCAGATATTCAGACTGGTTTTCCAGGGATATCACTTCATTTAGCAGGCTACAAACAGATGAAGAAATGGACTAAGTCCTGTGGATTGAGAAAACAATCATCCAACATGGGAGACACTTCTGATCTTTCCAAAACGAAGCGCTAGTCTACATAGAAGTGCATAGCAAAGAGATGCCAACCTCTGCTTCTCAAGAGATGGAAAGAAAAGGCACCAGATGGGAAAGAGGGCTGTTTCTCTCATGCTGGGATTGTTCCTGGGGACGTGTGGAGGGAGGCACTGAGCTGAAGCCACTGTCTGGACAGTGGGACAGCGACGTTTTTAAACCCAAATACTGGGTATCTGGGCTTTATCCAGAGCCTTCAATTCAGTAACAAGTTGAGTGTGGTGGTGCACACCTAATCCCTCTTGGGAGGTGGAGGTTGAAGGATCAGGAATACCAAGCTAGCTTAGGCTGCATGAGACACAAGGAAAGAAGAAAAAAATGAATTTTGTGATGGATCAAGGAATGTCCTCGCCGTGCCGGTTTCATAACTATACGCATTTGTGAAACTCTCAAGACCTTACATTAAAAACATAATTGCCATGTAATATATAATTATACTTTCTAAAAGAGAAAATGCATAGTGTTGGGATCCGGATGCCCTTTAATGCTCTGGAGGATGAATGGTCCACCTGGATGGGGTGTGAATGAGCAGAGGACGGGTCCAGAGGAGAGAGCTAGGAACGCAGGACCTTTGTGCTAGGAAAGAGGTGGGACATGGTAGGGACACTCAAGGCTTCAGACACTGATTTCCAATAGGAGCTTCTGCTTGTCAACCATTGGTTATGTGCCAGCCTCACAACTGGAACACTCATAATAAGCCAGTGATGAGGATAACTATTGGTAATTGTTTATACATGAGGAAAGGCAAGCCCTTAAAAAGGTTGATTACCTCACCCAAAAAATGGGCCATCAGGAATCAAACCCAGTCTCTCTACTGCAGGGATAGCTCAGTTAGTAGAGCGCTTATCTAGCATTCATCAAGACCTGGGTTCAGATTCCAGCATGCTACAGGCTACGTTAGCACATTCCATGCTGTGGGACAATGGTCTTCTACTCTGTAAAGATTTTTTGCTTGTATTGTTTTAATAAAATGCTGATTGGCCAGTAGCCAGGCAGGAAGTATAGGTGGGGCGACCAGAACGGGAGAATTCTGGGAAAAGGAAAGGCTGAGTCTGCAGTCATAACCCAAACAACAGAGGAAGCAAGATGAGAATGCCTCGCCAATAAAGGTACCAAGCCATGTGGCTGACCCAGACAAGAATTATGGGCTAATTTAAGATGTAAAGAGTTAATAAGAAGCCTGAGTTACTGGGCCAACCAGTTTATGATTAATGTAGACCTCTGTGTGTTTCTTTGGGGGCTGAACAGCTATGGGACTGGGTGGGAAAGAAACCTCTGTCAACAATTCCATATGAGGCAGAGTCAGGAGTATTAGTTCAAAATAATGCTCAGATACACAAAAAATTTGAGGTTAGCCTGGGCTACTTGAGACCCTACAGGGTACAGGAGAGATAGCTCCGCAGTTAAAGCCCATACTGCTTTTGCAGAAGAACAACTTCATTTCTTGGCATCCACAGGGCTGCTTCTAGATGCCTATACCTCAGACTCCAGGGGCTGTGACGCTTCTGGCCTCCTGGGCACCTGTGCTTGTACTCAACTGCATGTACACACATAGGTAAAAATGATAAAATAAGTTGAGAGAGAGCACCCACTGGGTACCTGTGTGCATCCCTTTGGTAAATAACTCAATTTTAAATTAAAAGTGTGTGTGAGAAATCATTGAGAGAGACTCAGAGAGCTCTGGTGTGAGCCTGTGATGTTGACTTCCAACCCTGAGGCTCTGCTTCTTGCCCCAGGCCTCACCGAAGCACCCGCGACGTTCTGAGCTCTAAAGCCACGAGCCATCCCTCTGGCCTCCTGCCAATCCCAGTACCCAGCATTTACCTCTTCACTGTGCTTTCTGTGCTGTTTATCTTTTGTATGATGCCATTGATCCTCTCCAGCCAGTCGACATGGTCCGCTGCAAGTTCCTTCATTTCTACACCCATCTTGGTGTTCCAGCAGCTCAGCTTGAAGACCGAGCTCTCTGGGGTCCTGCGGAAACAGAACCTTCATCATCGGAAGCTAGCACGTGGGAAACACTTCACACAGCTCTAAACGCTCTTCCTTGGACTGACAGGTTGATCTGTGTATGTGCTTCCTAACACCAAAATGGTGGCCATTTATTTATCTGTGTAAATAAATGATAAAGCAAAGTATTGATAAAGCAAATAATCACGCAGACGTATATATGTGTGTTACTGAGAATCAAACCCAGGACCTCACACAAAGTAAGCACTCTGCCATGGAGCTACATGCCCAGCCCTTAAAAGTTTTATGTGGGGCTGAAGAATTGGCCCAGCTGGTTTCAAGGACTTGTTGCTCTTGTGTACAACCAGGGTTTGGTTCCCAGTGCACACGTATGGTGGTTCACAACCATCCATAATTTCAGGATCAGAGGATCCAACAACCTCTTCTGACTTCCTCAGGCACACATGCAGTGTACATACATGTGTGATGTGTGATGCAGGCAAAGCATTCACATGCAGACTTTTATTTGGTTTTGTGTTTTTTGAGACAAGGTTTCTATGTATAGCTTTGGAGCCTCTCTTGGAACTTGCTCTATAGACTAGGCTGGTCTAGAACTCACAGCGATCTGCCTGCCTCTGCCTCCCTAGTGCTAGGATTAAAGGTGTGCACCACCACCACCCAGCTCATATGTAACCTTTTTTTTTTAAAAGCTTTTATGCATTTTTCTCAATACTAGGGGTTGAACCCAGGGCCTCACACAAGCTAAGAAAGGACTCTACCACTGAGCTATTGCTCCAGCCCTAAAAATAGATATATTTGAAGTCTCCTTGTATGTAATGAATGTTAGATGTTGGGTCAGGATAGTGGCAGGGAGGAGAGGGGACAGCAGGAGGTGACACACATGGTCCTAATGGCAGACTTGTAATTATGATTGAATGGTTTTTATATATAAGCAGTTATCTGAGACTTTTGTGATGCGTATCAAATCTAAGCTCCAAATCCGAGGACACTCAGAAGACAAGATGGCTGTGCCAGCATCTTCAGTCCAGGGCTGACTGACTCTTCGGTCTTACTGGTCAGGGTCAGCCAGTCCCCATGCACGTGGACATGGTTCAACAGGCTCTCTCTGAATTCCTTACTAAACTTCATTGTCCCCCCCCCCCCATCACTCACCCTACCGGGTTGTGTCAAAGCTTACGATGCAGGGGAGCTCTTCTCCAAACACTGCAACAGTGACCCTTGAGGATCTTCACAGGCAAGTGTGACTTCTTGCTCATCCTGATTGCTTGGTGGGTCCTGGCTGTGCTTAAACTCCTGCTCCAATCCCTCCTGCATGAGATGATGAGGTGAGAGATCCTGGCTCCTGCAGCCCTACCTGACATAGCCTGTCTGAAGCCCCGCCTTCCCGGGGGCGTGGATGAGATGGGGGCCCCGCCTTCCCGGGGGCATGGATGAGATAGCTAGACAAAGCCCTCTGGCTTGGTGTAGGATTTGCAGTACCAGCCTCTCAGGAAAGGTTGTTTTCAGGGTGAAACAGTAGAAACACACCCAGTCGTGAACCCGAAACTTGACTCAAACAACATAGCTCTTCAAAAACTCAACACCAGACAGGCAAGGGTGCACTTCTATACCCCTGGCCCTCAGGAGGCTGGGAGGCTGCCAGGAGTTATGAGGCCTGTCTGGCTTACACTGTAAGTCCTGGGCCAACCTAGGCCACATAGTGAGTTATAGCCAGCCTGGGCAACTTCACAAGAGCATAGCAAAACAAAGCAAACGGTGGAGCCTCAATATCACAAAAAGGCAAAGTACAAACGTTTCGGATTAAGACAGTCCACCGAGCTATGAAAACTGAGTACTTGGCAGGTAGATCTTGTTCCAATGGTAGTTAAATGAGAATACAGCTCTAGGACCAGGTTCAGTTCCTAGCTCACAACCACCTGTGACTCCAATCCCAGGGAGTGTGACACCCTCTACTGGCCTCTGAGGGCATCAGGAACATACATGGTGCACAGACACACGTGCAGGGAAAACACATGTACACATAAAACACAGAGATAAATCCTTGAAAATGACGGAGCTCTGAAAACATTTGAGGCATAGTCGAGAGCTGGAATATTGGGAGAATGAGAACATTAGACTCCTTTATGTGTTAAACTGCTGATTTCTCTGGATGTGATGACAGTATTTTGGAAACGTAGACGAAAATCTTTATTTTTAGAGAGGCTTTCTGAAGGCGACAGGGACAAACTGTTATGTTTGTCCTACTTTTAAATGTCTTAGTAAAGTGCATCTATTTATCCACGCAAAGACAGAGGAGATGCCGTGAAAGCCCAACTGTTTCAAGGAGCAGCTGTAAGAACGTGGCTGAGCAGCTGTAAGAACGTGGCTGAG